GGCGCTGTCCTGGGCCCTTTGGCCCGCTGGGCCTTGCGTGTGCGGGGGGCGAGGCCGTCAGGGGGACCCTCGGGCGAAATTCGGCCGGGCGGGGGCTGCAAACAGGGCGTGGGTCCCCCTAGCTCAGTCTCGATCTCTTAGTTGTCCGCACCCCCACCCCTGGCTCCGTGTCTGCGCGAGGCCTACACGGTGCCAGGGGCCGGGGTGCGTGTCAGGAGGGGGAGGGGAGGCCCACGGGGCCCCTCTGACTGCGACAGAGTAGGGCTAGGGACAGGAAACGGGCTGGCGGGCCCAGGGACGGGGACCCGCCTCGCCGGGGAGTACGATTTGTTGGGAAGGGGCCCAAAGAGAGGCAAGGGCAACAGGGGGGGGCACTCAGGGACCTTGGCCGGGGAGGCTTAGGCGAGGGAAGTGGCCGCCAGGGTGGTGGGGCGAGTGACATCAGCCCCTCGGAAAGGACGGGGCGGTAAAGGTGGTGCAGAGGGGGGAGGGGGCGCAGGCGAGTCGTGGCGCCTAAGTGGGGGGGGCGAGGGAGGAGGGAGCGTGGCGGACTCTGGGCGCGACTCGGGGCGATTCGGGCTGGACCGACTGTGCGCGGAGCAGACGTGTCCTGGGCCAGGCCAGGCCGTGGAAGGAAGAGAAGGAGAATCAAATAAAATAAGACCAAAAAATAAAAATTTAAAAAAAAATAGTACACACAGTGCCCAGTGAAGCCAAATGACACGTCATTTTACTGTGTGACCTTTTTCCCCCCTTCTAGACTTACAGGCTTTTTGAAAAGCAAAGAAGAGCATTAAATGGTAGCAGCTGCCCCCCCCCAGCTGTGCCCCCACCCGTGTAACAACACACACGTTTTCCTGTTAGTCGGCCTCCTTGAGAGTGAAAACACAAAAGTGAAAAATAAAATAAAAGCGTATTTTTGAAAGACTCATAAATAAGATAAAACTGGAAAATGACATTTGTCTGTAAATGGCTTCGTGGTTTCGAAATGGCGTTTTTAAGATTTTTGTCCTTTTCAAGGTGGGGGGGCAGAATAAGCGCTCTGGGAAGACTTTCCTGGGTGGAAGCTGATGAAAGGACATTAATTAGTTGTTTGTCAAGTGACATTTGGTTGTTTGGTTTTTCTTCTCTTTTTTTCACTGCGGCTTTTTCTCCTTGGCAAAAAAAAAAAAAAAAAAAAAGGGCAAAAAAAAAGGGGGGGCCCCAAAAAAAAAAAGATTGTCTCCCTCTTTTAAGGTGCTGGGGGGGGGGCTACACAGGCACACAGGCAAAATCGTTGAAACGGCCACGAAAACATTACACAACATTAATTAGAATGGAAGCTTTCCACTTCTTGGTATTTTGGCTATCTGAATAAATTTGTGAATTTGCTGGGAGCACGGTCACATTTCAACAAAATAGTTTAATTATCGAAAATAAAATGGTAGGAGGCTGTTTTTCTTTGTGCTGGCGTTCGGTTTGATCTTTTTGGATGGGGTCACGTCTTTGTTCTCTCTGGGCCAGATTCAGGAAAGTAGAAAATTATTAGTAAAGTGAAAACCAATGTCTTTGGTGTTGATGCAGTTGCAATTTTAGTAATTAGAGGAGGTGAATGTGGGCTCTAAAACTTCTAAAGGCATAATTATGCCATAAATATTAATATGCCACACTTTGATTTTAAAGTACACACCTGAAAAAGTCTAGAATCTTCTGTATGGTGCATTCTTGCTTATGTGAATGTTGATTTAACTCCAGGATGATGTTAATGACACATTAAATTCCTAACCCCTTTGTTTTTCTGTCTTCACAGTGATTTCAGGTGACCCCACTTATTTGAGACCATTATTGTGAGCCAACCCTGCTGCTTCTCAGGCCTCCTAGTCTACATGGCTGCATTATGCCACAATTAATTAATGACCTTTGGCATAGAAATCTGTTGCCCTGGCCATTGGCAACGTTTTTTACATTTCTTAAAATGAAATAATTTCCCACAAAAGAAACCTAATCTCCCAACTCCCTTTTCATTAGCCCATTTTAACTTTTGCGATGTAAATTAAGTCAATTACAGAACTACAAAAACCCCTGACAGTTATTTCCAGCCCAGTTTTCTATTCTCAACAAATGTGGAAACTGAGGCACAGATCTAGTTCTGTCTATTAAAAAAAAAACCAAACAGGTGTCACAATTTTTACCATTTCTAAGATGAGAATACTGAGGATCCTGATTAGTACTCTGTCTTCCCTTCATGGGACCCTCCCAATAATGCCTTTTATATTTAATTTATGAGACTTTTGCACAATTAGGATGGTGTTTGCTTTGAAATCAATGCTTTTGTGGAAGCCAATTTTAACTTTTACAGATATTGATCATAGCCTTGGGGAAAGGTAAAAGGGGGAGGAGATACTTCACTATCTGGGTACCAAGACAAAAACAATATAATTAAAAAGATTTTTAAAAGCATTCAGATTTATGTGGGAGGAGGGGGAAAACCATTCACTAGTTTTTTTCTGAGTTGATGGGAATGGGGTAGGGTGGGGCAGGGTGGCGGGGAGAGGGGGTCTATAACATGTTACTTTTTAGAAACAAACGAAAGGTGATTTAAAATGGAGGCTTGTGCTTCTTTAGTTGGGAAAAGCCTAGAATCTTCCAGTTTAGGAGTTTCCAGGAATATTTGTGCATATAATGAAAGTCATTTTTTTTTTTAATTCTTTTCTGTTGATGTTGCATGTTGCCTGATGCTAAGAAGGTCTCAAGTGCCATGTTTGATATTAAACTGTGTTGGTTTTTTGTTTGTTTTTTGCTCTTTTTTTGTTTGTTTGTTCTTTTGCTTTTTACCCCCTGCTGCTGACAGACAATTGATGGCCTTCCATTTCCCTCTGCAACATGGTAGTTGTGTTCAGAAGAAAGTATCTTTAGAAAGATTCCCTTTGCAGGGAAAGGGAGTGAATAAGCAAATACAATGTAACATTGGTGTTAGAGGTGGACTGGACGCATGCTAGAGAGCAGCTGCTTTGGTGTTGGGAGGAGGTGCTGCAGCGGGACGTGATGTGATGTTGGGGGTCTGCAGTGTCTAGGCGTTGCCTGCCAGTCCTGGGTATTTTAACCATAACATATCTAACAAACAGGAAATTAGGTGGCTGCTGCTTTTCTGTGTACCTTTGACCACATTTCAATATTAAGTTCACATTTTTTACTTCAATTTTTCACCCCTCCAATGACAATTACGTCATCCCCTCATAACTTCATGATTTTTAAAAGCCCAAAGAGAAAACAAAACAACAGCAAAACTCACAATAATTAAAATTAAATTTTTTTTTAAAAAAGAGCTATCTTAAAAACAGCAGAGCCCTTAATTCTTGCTTGTTACTCTATGGTGAGATACTTCAGGTAGACCCTAAGTTGGACATGTCTTTGTTTTTCATGGCGTCGTCACGTCCAGGAAGTTTGCAATTGTGCCACTGTGTCCGTTGTGTGCTGCTTTGCTGCTTTTCAAGGCCATCATCCACGTGAAGTGTGGCAAGCCTCTGTCTTAACCCGAGCCCCCTCACTTTCCTTCTCAGGTGCTGGAGAGTCTGGCAAGAGCACGATTGTGAAGCAGATGAGGATCCTGCATGTTAATGGTTTTAATGGAGAGTAAGTGTCAAATCCAAGCAGGGTGCTGAGGAGGAGTGGCCCTACCTGGCCTCTAGGAGATGGCAGGACTCCTGAAAGAGTGTGTATACTAACGTCCAGGAAGCACAGCTGCTAATTGCCACTAATTATTTTTTTCTAATTTGCATAGTAGACAGCCCAGGAAAGAGCTGATGGGTGCACGCCCACCCTCTTCTCAACCTTTGGTGCAACAAATAGGAATAACAGTAAAAGCACCCGTGTCCACCCCAAGCGGCCCCTCGCGCTGGAAAATGGTGCCTGGTTGCAGAGGACAGTGAACAGCACTTGGCCGGGTGACAGCGTCTCTGAGGCCAGGTCCTCTGCTGCAGCCTCGTCTGCTGCAGTGCGGCTCCAACATGGCTGACAGGGCCTTGGCCACCCCTTGTCCAGCCAGAGCTGGCCAGCACAGGAGGCCCCCACCCACCACCCTGCGGGTTTTACTGGAGTAAACTGGTGTGGGCTTTTGTACCCTCAGGAAAACCTCGTTTCAACTACGTGTTCACTTAAAAGTTAGAATCCACAGCCATGAGGCCGGCAAGCTTCAAGCTTGTGCATCCCTAGCCCCTGCAGAATTAATGTGATAGACAAGTAATTGTTTCTCTAATTTAAAAAAGCAACGCTCTTACCTAAACAATTGAAAAAAAATGTGCAAATGATGGGAAGACAGGAAACTAGCTACTTCTGGCTAGTCCAGGGGGCATTTTGTCTTTGAAATGACCTTCCTGGTTTAAGACAATATGGCGACACAGTACCGCAGTGAGAATGGACGTTTTTTCTTAAAGAGAGAGAAGAGGGGAGGCAAATATGGGGTCCTGCCTCCCATGAAGAATGCAAACTGAGGAAACACTCAATACAGTAGGGAATTTGCCTTTTCTGCCTGGCCCCCATTGTTCTCCGTGATGAGACAGGATAAACTTGCTCCCTTGGGCTGTTTTCACTGGTTAATCTCTAGTTAATCTCTAGGTGAGAAGCACTAGTTTGTAATTACTAGTTAACACTCCCACCCCCTTTCTTCACCCTGATTTAGTTGAAAATCTGGCCCTTGGTTGTATTTTAACTTAACCACCTGGGGAGGGGCACTTAGTTCTGCCCCCTACCAAGCCTTAAGTGCTGGGGATTCAGGATGCCACAGGCTGCTCTTCATGGAAGCTTCTAGAATTTGTTAGATTGGCTAATCAGGTTAGAAAAAGATGACATCACCCATGTGAAGGGTTTGGATTCATATGCTTTTTAAATTATAGCCCCAAATCCAAAGATTAGTTAATAGGCAGAAGGGAGGGGCCTCGCTCACTAATTTTAGAATTGACTCAGTTACTACTGTGCACCCATAATCTAATCTGTTAAGTAAAACATTGTCACCTACCAGAAATCGATTTTAGGATTCTTAATTTCTAATGCTCCCTTCTCAAAAAGCCTAACCAAGGAGATTGGCACCTGCCAGTCAACAAGCAGAACACGAAAACAGCCCACCCCAAATGTGAGGGATTCTTCATTATGAGGCTAATTAAGGAAAAATAATCTGGCCATGTACCTCGAAATATTTAATCAAAAATACCTTGATGAAAGCTGGCCATGGCTAACATTTTAAAGAAACAGCAGCCACTGTTAAGTCGAGTCAGATGGAAGCGATGTCATCCTTAAAGTTTTATTACTTTACAAATTTCCCTAAAGTCTTATTTTTTTTAAAAACCAATTCTCCCTAAGTATTGCTGCAGCTGAGAGTTCTAAACCAGAACTTCTCCTTTCTATTTTCTCTCTGAAAGAGGAAGAGACATTCCCAGTTTGCCTTCTCTGTGGGTCTCCAAGAGGATAAATTTAGCCCATGAAAGTGATATTCGGAGCTTCCATGGGGGGCTGGATTCCCTATTTTGACCTGGTCCAGCTAAGCCTCGAAGGTTCTCTCACTGTGGTATTGACCAGAAATCTCTATACTCTGTACTTGGCCTACCTGCCATTACATTTTTAAAGAGTATAACATAATATTAATTTGACCTTCAGAAATACAGAGGTCGAATATAGACATTCCTAACTCAGAGCTTACTTCCTGAAGTTTTAATGCCAGGAAAGATGAACCCTGGTTGAGTCAATCAATTACAAAGCTGAGTGTTAGTGCCCCATACGTAGCCCCCACCATGACAGAAAGGTGATTCAGATCACACCAGGAAATCAGGACTGTCCCATTTGTGCTGTTGTGGGCCTGGAAGGACACAGAGAAGATCTGACGGCAAAGGCCAGGAGACTTCTGAAATCCCATAGTCTCAAGCGGTCTATGGCAAGTCACTGCCACGACTCCTTGGTGCCTGTGCATTTAGTGAAAGCAGAAGAAAATAATTACCTGTCCCTCCTGTCTCTAGCCTGAGTCTCCTGAGGGCCCCACTAATTCAGCCAGGAAAGTGTGGAGCGCTTCCCCCTGCGGCCTACAGTCTCAGTGGACATTCCCAGTTAGTCAGGCAAGCCACCTAAGGCTTCACCGGGAGGAGTGCCCAGGACTGTCAGGTTGCTCTCACCTGGTTATTTAGGGATGCAAGAGGCTTTGTGGGGTTTGTGTGCGATTGCAGTGCCTTGCAGATAGGTGAGCTTTCGATCTCTCTTTGAAAGGGGCGGCGAAGAGGACCCGCAGGCTGCAAGGAGCAACAGCGATGGGTAGGCACATTCAAAAACAGAAAACTCTTCTAACAGACAAAACAAACATGAAGATCATAGTGGGGAAACTGAGGACCAGACTCGGGAGCAGAATAGAGATCATCTCAGGGCCATCAGCCATTTTGGTGTGCATTTGCAAATGTCATGTAATCCAGTAAAGTGCTCAACAGAAAATGTTTTGGACCAAAGGATACAGCTGGGAGAAAGTTGGCCATCTCAGCCTCTGAGGAAAATTTAAGATTGTGAGAATAGATATTTTCCTTATGGTCTTTATTTCCCCTCCATTTAAATCATTAAGTTCTGTCCACACAGTGGTCAGTCTAACCTTAAAATTTTAATACTCTTTGGGGAAAAAAATATTTCCTCAATTAAAACTATTCATTGCCTCCTAGTATTTTATCTTGGGGAAAATAATGCCTAATGTCATGGCACTTTGTGGCAGGCCATTGACCTTGACGCGTCTGGCCTCAGAATTTATTTAAAAAACGTTTAAATTTTAACGCAAGGCACTTTACATTAGCCACCGGACGAGAGCATTTGTGACGGCACCCCACTCATTACCATTGTTTATTATTTTGCTTTCTCATCCCCACAAGCATCTCATGCCTGCAGACACACGCACACGCATGCCAGGCATCCATCCAGCTCCATTCGCTCACTCAGCATGCAGGACGGAGCAGCTCTTTCTCATATCAATTCATAGAGAAGCTTCTAGTCTAGGACATCGAAAAGAAATGGCTTCTGAGACCGGGCATGGGAGGGTCAAAGGATATGGGGGTCGGGGACAAAGTGACTGACACATGTTTGTTCATCTGTTTCTTTTAGAATATATTACCCCTACTAGATGATGGCTACAGTCCTCCATCTTCTTCGCTATGTCCTCTCCCAACTATCCCAACCTGCATGCTTCAATTGCCCGGTCTTAGGAAACTAATAAGAATACTATTCTGTTGTCTGGGGGGAGGGGGAGGGGTCCCTTACCTATTTCCTAACCTTTAGACATAAGTGACAAAGGAAAGAGGAAATGACATCCTTAATTGGCTACAGTATAGTAGAAGAGCAATCAGAAAAGGCATCGATAGATTGATTATCGGCTGTACCAAAAGTTGGCATCTGAGAAATGTGGCAAGCCCCTACTGAGAGAGCCTACTATGTATCGTGTTGTGCTAAACCTCTCAACCTTACTAATACTTACCTGCACGTTTTTTCCTCCTATGACTCTCTACTCTACAAGTAAAAATCAGTATTAACAATCCTGATAAATAAAATTCTCTGCATGTCTCAGCAATCCCTGTATCTTGCGTCTGTCTTCTGTCTACTCTCTTGTCTGTCTTTTCCCACAAGCATAAAGATAGGGTAGAGAAATGGAGGATGGGTACCACATAGCTTTCTCCTACCACTTAACAGAAGGGAGAAGGGGCAGGACCTACTAAAAATGCTAACCCCACTAATCTGCCTTACACTTTTCTAGGGGGTGGGATGAGGGGGACAACATCCTAGGGGGTGGGGCAAGGGGGTGGGTGGGGGAGCAGCATCCTATAGAGACCTCCAGCCCCAACTTTCTACTCAGATAGAACCCTGAAACTGGCACATGTAGTTTAGAGACGCCTAAGGGATTTTCTCCAAATTTCACAATCAACGTTAAATTCATTAAGTGGCGTTTACAAAGGAGGGTAAACCTGCCAGCCCCTGATGTGACGGCTCCATCTACATAGTAATCTCTTCAATGGAGAGGTTTTGTTTTAGTACTACACGCCCGAATTAGATTGTAGATTTTCTATTTTAGCTGTTTTATACTGGGTACACTCCCACACCTATTCACATACGTAGATGAATACTGAACACGTTCTCAGAATATCTGTATTTTAAGACTGGAAGCTTTCCAATTATCATACTACTACTTAGAACAAAATATCAAACTGAATGAGGAATCTTCCCTGGGGAAATGCTTCCTTCTACCTGTAGGTTGATTGGAGTAGTTAATACTCAGATAACCTCATTTTTCTGTTGTGGGGCCTTAAAGCCCAAGAATTGGGGTTCTCAGTACCAATGGCTGGGAACCCTTCTTTTTTAAAAAAAAAATCTTGGAGTAGATTTGTCCCAAGGCAGGATAGGGGAGGCTCACTGTGAACTCTAAATCAGAGTTCTAGGGCCATCAGACACATGCTTTTAGATGTCCACATAGCCAGTCTCCAAGTCTAACACTAGGGTGGGAACTGTGTCACCTCCCTAAGAGAACTAGTCCCTCTGAGGGATGGGAACCCCAATGCCTTTAAAGCGTCTGAGGGCCCCCAGGCAGCTTTCAGGGTGTGTCTTAACTCCTGCATCTCTTCCCCTCCCCCGAAGCCTACATGCCACCCACCCCCGAGCCCTAGGACAGCCTCTCCAGTCTGCAGTAGCCAAAGGGCCTTTCCTCTTGCCTCCTTTTCCTGTTCTCCCAAGTGGTGGATTCGCTTTAATTTTAGATGTAAAGAGAGAGGCAGCTTGCCCTCCTCCTGTGGGGGGTGGGGGTGGTCTGATTCTCCGCCTGTCATGACGTGGGACCTTAGCACTCGGCCCCTCCCTCCTGCTGATGAGTATCCCCAAGCCCTAAACCTTACAAACCCTTACCTACCAGGGAAGATCAGTGTCTAGGAGCCACCTAAAAGATGGACCCCAGTAAAAGTATGTATTAAGATCATTCAGAGCACAGAGCCCACTCCCCAAATATACAAACCTGTGTGGAAGAAGAGCCCTATTTAAATATCAGCTGTCACAACATTAAGAATGGGTTCTTTGGGTGTGGGCCTATTGGTGGGTCTGCACGTGACCCGCAGATCCCCACCCAGATGGTGGGCATGCACACAACCCCCAGATCCCCGCCCAGTTGGCGGGCATGTACAAGACCCCCCTAAATCCCCACCCAGATGGTGGATATTCACAGGACCCCAGATCCCCGCCCTGTTGGTTGACATGTACAAAACCCCCAGATCCCCACCCCGTTGGCAGGCATGTGCAAGATCCCTAGATTCCCTACTCTGTAGGTAGGCATATACAAGACCCCCAGAATCCCACCCAGATGGTGGGCATGCACACGACCCCCAGATCCCCGCCCAGTTGGCGGACATGTAAAAGACCCCCTAAATCCCCACCCTGTGGTAGATGTATACAAGACCCCCAGATTCCCACCCAGATGGCGGATATTCACAGGACCCCAGATCCTCACCCCGTTGGCAGGCATGTGCAAGATCCCTAGATTCCCTACTCTGTTGGTAGGCATATACAGGATACCCAGATGGCAGGCATGCACACGACCCCTGATTCCCACCCCATTGGCGGGTGTGCATACAATCCCAGATCCCTGCCCCTTTGGCAGGCGTGTACAAGACCCCTAGATCCCCACCCAGGTGGCGGGCATGTACAAGATCCCCGCCCCATTAACGGGCCTGTACAAGACCCCTAGATCCCCGCCCCATTAACGGGCATGTACAAGATCCCCAGATCCCCGCCCCATTAACGGGCCTGTACAAGACCCCTAGATTCCCCCCACCCATTGGCAGGGATGCACATGACCCCAGATTTCCCACCTGTTAGCAGGCATGTACAAAATCCCCTGTTCCCCACCCCACTGGCAGACGTGCACATGACCCCTAGATCCCCACCCTGTTGGCGGCCATGTACAAGACCCCTTGATCCCTGCCCTGTTAGTAGGCATAACATATACAAGACCCCTTAGATCCCCACCCCGTTGGTG